CAAGGTACCTCACACTGAGGACAAGGTACCTCACAGTCCTAGCTGAGGAAAGGTTCCTCACGCTGAGGACAAGGTTCCTCACGCTGAAGACAAGGTCCCTCAAGCTGAGGACAAGGTTCCTCACGCTGAGGACAAGGTTCCTCACGCTGAGGAGAAGGTTCCTCACGCTGAGGACAATGTTCCTCACGCTGAGGACAAGGTTCCTGACGCTGAGGACAAGGTTCGTCACGCTGTGGACAAGGTTCCGCACGCTGAGGACAAGGTGCCTGACGGTGAGGACAAGGTGCCTCACGCTGAGGGTAAGGTTCCTCACGCTCAGGACAAGGTTCCTCACGCTGAGGACAAGGTTCCTGACGCTGAGGACAAGGTTCGTCACGCTGTGGACCAGGGTTCCTCACGCTGAGGACAAGGTACCTCACACTGAGGACTAGGTTCCTCACGCTGAGGACAAGGTTCCTCACGCTGAGGACAAGGTTCCTCACGATGAGGACAAGACTCCTCACGCGGAGGACAAGGTTTCTCACGGTGAGGACAAGGTACCTCACCATGAGGACAAGGTTTCTTATGCTGAGGACAAGGTTCCTCACGGTGAGGACAAGGTTCCTCACGCTGGGGACAAGGTTGCTCAAGCTGAGGAAAAGATTCCTCTGAGGACAAGGTACCTCACACTGAGGACAAGGTTCCTCACGCTGAGGACAAGGTTCCTCACGTTGAGGACAAGGTTCCTCACGCTGAGGACAAGGTTCCTCACGCTGTGGACAAGGTTCCTCTCACGCTGAGGACAAGGTTCCTCACGCTGAGGACAAGGTTCCTCACGCTGAGGACAAGATTCTTCACGCTGTGGTCAAGGTTCCTCACGCTGAGGACAAGGTTCCTCACGCTGAGGACAAGGTTCCTCAAGCTGAGGACAAGGTTCCTCACTCTGCGGACAAGGTACCTCACGCTGTGGATAAGGTACCTCACACTGAGGACAAGGTACCTCACACTGAGGACAAGGTACCTCACGCTGAGGACAAGGTACCTCACGCTCCGGACAAGGTACCTCACGCTGTGGACAAGGTACCTCACACTGAGAAGAAGTTACCTCACACTGAAGACAATGTACCTTACAGTGAGGACAAGGTACCTCACACTGAGGACAAGGTTCTTCACGCTGAGGACAAGGATCCTCACGCTGAGTACAAGGTTCCTCACGTTGAGGACAAGGTTCCTCACGCTGAGGAGAAGGTTCCTCACGCTAAGGACAATGTTCCTCACGCTGTGGACAAGGTTCCTCACGCTGAGGACAAGGTACCTCACACTGAGGACAAGGTTCCTCACCCTGAGGACAAGATTCCTCACGCTGAGGACAAGGTTACTCACCCTGAAGACAAGGTTCCTCATGGTGAGGACACGGTTCCTTATGCTGAGGACAAGGATCCTCACGCTGAGGACAATGTTCCTCACACTGAGAACAAGGTCCCTCAAGCTGAGGACAAGGTTGCTCACGCTGAGGACAAGGTTCCTCACGCTGAGGACAAGGTTCCTCACGCTGAGGACAAGGTTCCTCGCGCTCCGGACAAGGTACCTCACGCTGTGGACAAGGTACCTCACACTGAGGACAAGGTCCCTCAAGCTGAGGACAAGGTTCCTCACGCTGAGGACAAGGTAACTCACACTGAGGACAAGGTAGCTCACACTGGGGACAAAGTATATCACACTGAGGACAAGGTTTCTCATGCTGAGGACATGGTAACTCATACTGAGGAAAGATTCCTCAGACTGAGGACAAAGTACCTCACGATGAGGACAAGGTACCTCACACTGAGGACAAGGTTCCTCACGCTGAGGACAAGGTTTCTCACGCTGAGGACAAGGTACCTCACACTGAGGACGAGGTACCTCACACTCAGGACAAGGTTCCTCACGCTGAGGACAAGGTTCCTCATGGTGAGGACAAGGTTCCTCACGCTGAGGATAAGGTACCTCACTCTGAGGACAAGGTACCTCACACTAAGGAAAAGGTTCCATACGCTGAGGACAATGTTCCTCAAGCTGAGGACAAGGTACCTCACACTGAGGACAAGGTACCTCACACTGAGGACAAGGTTCCTCACGCTGCGGACAAGGTACCTCATACTGAGGACAAGGTTCCTCACACTGACGACAAGATTCCTCACGCTGAGGACTAGGTTCCTCAAGCTGAGGACAATGTACCTCATACTGATTACAAGGTACCTCACAATAAGGAAAAGGTTCCATACGCTGACTCAAGGTTCGTCAAGCTGAGGACAAGGTACCTCACACAGAGGACAAGGTTCCTCACGCTGAGGACAAGGTTCCTCACGCTGAGGACAAGGTACCTCACACAGAGGACAAGGTACCTCACGCTAAGGATAAGGTTCCTCACCCTGATGACAAGGTTCCTCATGGTGAGGACACAGTTCCTTATGCTGAGGACAAGGTTCCTCACGCTGAGGACAAGGTTCCTCACGCTGAAGACAAGGTCCCTCAAGCTGAGGACAAGGTTCCTCACGCTGAGGACAAGGTTCCTCACGCTGAGGACAAGGTTCCTCACGCTGAGGACAAGGTTCCTCACGCTGAGGACAAGGTTCCTCACGCTGAGGACAAGGTTCCTCACGCTGAGGACAAGGTTCCTCACGCTGAAGACAAGGTTCCTCATGCTGAGGACAAGGTTCCTCACGCTTAGGACAAGGTTCCTAACGCTGAGGACAAGGTTCCTAACAACGTTTCTAACGCTGAAGACAAGGTTACTCACGCTGAGGACAAGGTTCCTCAAGCTGAGGACTAGGTTCCTCATGTTCTTCACGCTGAGGACAAGGTTCATAACGCTGAGGACAATGTTCCTCGCGCTGAGGACAAGGTTCCTCACGCTGAGGACAAGGTTCCTCACGCTGAAGACAAGGTACCTCACGCTGAGGACAAGGTTCCTCACGCTGAGGACAAGGTTCCTCACGCTGAGGATAAGGTTCCTCACGCTGAGGTGGGGGGAAGGGGCAGTCCTCAATATATCTTTAAAATACTGACAATTGATTCATTTTAAGCGGCTACATTACCCCTGACAAACCGCCAAAAATCGTATTACCCATATACGCCTTCGCCCATTTAGTTCTTCTAAATTGTAAGCAAATTAATTGCAAATTTCGACGTGCTAAAACTCTGTTTTCTGACCATCAGAATTCTGTCAAAACTTCCCCCAAAGTCCACGAAATGGCATTTCAGAGAAGTTTCTGTGCCGAACTGCACGCTTCTGTAATATGTCTGTGCGTAAAATATGAGTATTTTTGTTTGTAAATTGCGTTTTCATTTTCCGAATAGCAAACACCTTCGTGGCTTCGTAAGGCATGAAATATTCGGAAATTTTTTTTGTAATTCTGAAATTTTTGGCCTACACCCCCCCCCCCCAACTATGCATGCTTAGCTACGGCCGTGGGCTCACAACGCGCGAAAGCTCATTTGATATGCAAAATTTATACTAAATATATATATTATAATATTTCGAAATGTACTTTAATTCTTCGTGCATGCACAGATGTTTTTAATAGAGAGTTTTTTTTTCTTTCTTTTTAATTAGTTTTACAATAAGAAATTGAAGGCACAGACAACGGGGCTAATAAAGTCCCAAATTAAGTCCTGCCATACATGAAAATACTACACTATACTATGCTATGCTATACTATATTATAAACTGTTATAAAATTAACATAATACATAGCTTGGTACATATTTACGGTATTACACATAATTACATTGTACAAAAACTCTGAACATGCACTTCTACGAACAACAAGATATAAAACAAGAATGACATTTAGAGCAAAACGTTTTCCAAGTCCTTGGCCTATTAACATCAAAACATGAATTAACTTTTTGAGTGTAGTGATTATAGAGTTTAAGTTTCAGTGACTGAATAGAAAGAGAGAGGATTTTATTTCTCCTGGCAGGCTGTTCTAGAGTGGCACTATCCTATTGAAAAATAGGTTTCGGGAAGAAGATGTTCTGCAACGGTTTGGTCGGTATGAATCAGTAGAGCTAAAGCGAGTGTGATGATTAGTAGAATTGTCTAGCATATAGTCTTCAAGTGTTAAGTCGTAATAACCAGCTTTGCATTTATAAAAAAAACGTAATATCTTTTATTTCGAACCAGTATGAAATAGGCAGTAGGTTAAGTTTCTTTAAACGGTTGGTGTAAGGTGAGTTGAAGTCTTGAAGGATATACTTGGTTGCTCGTCTTTGGACACTTCCATGACAAAGAAGGTTCCTACATGTTGTTTGGGGTGCCCAAATTTCACTGCCATAGCACCAGGTGTGTACGAACAAGTGTCAAATAGAGAGAGCGTCGACAATTTATATCAGTTAAATATGTGCAGTTACGCCGTAGAAATCCAAGCATGCGGTTTGCTTTGTTAAACAATGTTAGAAATATGAGGCGACCAAATATACCAAAATCCTTTTCAGTTGATTGAAAAGGGATCTGACTGGAGCATGAAAAGTAATTGCGAGACTCAATTCAACGTTTCCGTGAAAATCTTATTCCAATGTAAAGTAGCCATACGTTTAGCCGACCATAACTTCGGCCCCTTTGGACATATCTTATTCGAACCGGAATCCAAAACACTATTTAGAGTGTTATTCAGTGGCGTGGTGGCTGGGGGGGGGGGGCGGGGGGCCATGCCCCCCCCAGCGATGGTTTCATGAGGGGCGCCGAAATGCCAGTGGGGTGCTAAAATTGCCAAGAAGTGCCTCCGGATTAGTATGATCTATTTTAGTATGATCAATATATTACTCCCTATTATGATATGATATGATATATTATTATGATATGACATATTATTATTAACTCCGGATTAGTATGATCTATTAAAGTTGACATATGTTGTGATTATTAAAATTGTGATGTTGAGACCCAACCGCATCAGAACATTCCAGACATTTGATATTTGATATGTTACATTAGACTGCTAGTGCTTTGTCACGCTTGCGTAAGCTTCACGTTTGCATAAGCTTGAGCTATAAATAGCATAACAAGTAATTTCTGATTATAGACATTGTATAACAATCTAAAATAGCTTTAGACAAAACACTATATAAGGGCGGCTCGCTGAAATAGAAACATGTGTTAAAGTTATTATATTCAAGACTCAAGAAGAACGTTTTATATGTACCAGTGAGACAATCGTCTGGCCCTTTTCACGCCAAGGAGGCAAGGATTGCTGGACTGTTGCTTCAGTGCTGAGCTGTGTGACTGTGTCTTAAGACAGATAAATCGGTTAGTATTCTTAACATATATTCTCTGTATATTGTTTAAATAAATACATTTAGAAAACTAAGTTTCCTCAATAAGCCTCTTGTTGCGGTGTTCGTAACAAAACAAGATGAGTTATAAAATATGAATGAAGTTATTTTATAATTAATATCAGGCTATCAGCCATCAGGAGTCATGATATCAGAAATCTGTGTTAAAACAAAAAAAATTAAATTGCCATTTCCCTTTAAATTAAACTTTTTTGAGCACATTTTACTTTTGAATACTACTAGTAAAAATCTTGATATTGTGTGCCGTATATTAACTGCAACCTGCATGATATTATTATTGCAATAATATGAAATATATTATTCAATCCACGACTAGCACGCAACAGTTAGAATGGAAACCACCAACAAAAGCCAAAAACGAAAAAAATCGGGCGCAGAGAACAAAAAGGCAAGGAAAGCAAGGAGGGAAGAAAACGAAAAACTTGGATCGTTCATGAAAAGCTATTTCACAAAATCAAGCAAATCATCATATGGAGACGATGCTTCCAGTAATGACCAAGATGCTCTAAATGCTGCAGGAGACAAAAAGAAGGAAAGCAAAGATGTAAAAGATGGTATAGAAAATGCAAGCCCAGACAAGCCATGTGATGTGGATGACAAAAACGACGTAGAAGATGAGGTCGAAGTGGTTCAAGATCCTGTAAGTCTTCCAGAGTTTGATAGCGGGCGCAAAGTTAGTGAAGGGAAAGTTCGGGACGACGAGATGGACGTACAAGAATCTGCAGTGTCTGGTGTAGCAACTGCATCTGAGTTCGATCCTGATTCATCTGCCGAATTTAATGACAGCAGATTTCGCGATAGAATTACTGACTTTGAAACCGGACGTCCAGTTCTTAACGAAGCTTTGAATACATCAATACAGAATCGGGGCGAAGAAGACACAATCATCATTGAACAGTGCATGCTCCGGAGAAATCCAGCTTTTGTAAATGATGGAGGGAATGAAACCAATGATCCCGCGTTACTTGTTGGCATGAAGTTCGGAATAGAGGATAAAGAAAAGCTTTGTAGAAATGAACCATGTCAGCCACCCGAATCCGTTTTATCTGAGAGAAAAAAGAAAATTGGAGAACGTAACCGGTACTGCTCGCAGGCGGTATTCTTTCACGAAGATCAAACTTTCATACTCGCTAAGTAAGGATTGTCTATTCTGCCTCCCATGTCTCCTATTTTCAGATGAATGTTTAAGAGGCGAAAACACGCGCCACAACCAAGGAAATGCTTTTATGAATGCTGGGTACTCGAACTGAAAGAAACAGTACAGTAATATCACAAAGCACGAAAAGTCCGAAAGTCATATAAATGCCAAGATTGCTCAAGTTGTCTTTTTGCAAGGACGATCAATCGATTCATGCTTGAAGCAACAAGAAAAGACCGAAATTTTGCGTCGGAAGAGAGAAGTCGTGGCAAACCGCAGCATTATGGAACGCGTTGTCGACACTGTTGTACATTTGGGAAAGCAGGGACTTGCTTTCAGAGGGCATCGAGAGTCACTAATTGATGACCCAGAAGCAAATAAAGGAAATTTTCTAGAGTCTCTGAATTACCTGTCAACCTACGATATAACAACTGCGAATCATCTTGAAAAGGTTAGAAATCAACAAGCTATGTCGAGAAGAAAGGGCGGGGGAAGAGAAGTTGCCTCGCAAATTGTCAAAGAAATCGGTAATTGCAGAGCATGGGCATTAATAGCCGACACCACACCGGATGTCAGTCACCACGAGCAGCTTAGTATTTGCGCAAGGATCGTTAATCGTAATGGCAAATGCTCCGAGCACCTTTTGTCTTGCAAAAGAGCTTCCGGTACAAAAGCAATGGAATTATACAATCTAATCTCAGAAACACTTGTCTCGAAAGGTGTGTCGTTTGGTAAACTCGTAGCACAAACATACGACGGCGCTTCGAATATGAGCGGATGCTACAACGGCTTGCAAGCGATCATCAAGGAGAAAGTTGGAAAACATGTTGCTTTTGTCCACTGTTATGCACATACGCTTGATCTTGTTTTGTCCGACTCTGCAAGTGTTGATGTTCAAGTAATAAGCCTCTTCAATGACCTCGAAGCCTTGTACGTTCTCTTTAGGAAGACACAAAGAATCTATGATTTGTTCGAAGCTGTCCAACTGGAAGAGAACCTGAAAGTCCTTTCCCTAAAGAGACTTAATACTGTTCGTTGGCATTCACGCGAGTTGTGTCTAAAGGTCCTTCTCTCTCGTTATGATTGCATTTTAAGTGTCCTGGAAACCGTTGCGTTAGACAGTTTAATTGATGGAAACCCACGAAAAACGAGCATTGGCTTATTGAAGCAGATTCAAACAAAGCAGTTTCTGGCTACCGCGTACCTCTTTCGAGAAATATTTGCATCCACTGGTCCACTAAGCCGATATTTACAACGCGTTGATGTTGATTTTGGAAAAGCCCTGGGTATGGTCGAAAGCGCGATTGACGAGCTTAATGAATTGCGTAACCAACCGGAGCGAATTATCAGATACGTCGAGCAAAAACACGACTCCCCCAGCGTGACTTGGGAACAACCAAGAATCAGACGTCGAAGACGAATGGATGATGAAAATGCCGAAGACGAACCTGCTGAAACACCAGAAGATCACTGGAAACGTAACACATTTTACGTTTCTGTGGACACGATCTTAAATTCATTGAAGAATCGATTTGAGAAAAACCAACCCTTGCTCCAAGCTTTTTCGTTGTTTGCTCCAAGCCGTTTCCCACAACTTGTGAAGAATTTCAAAACCGCACATGATCTCCAAGCGTGCCTTAACACTTTTTGTGAAACGTACAATAATAACAATATAGATGCGTTTAGATGTGCTGACGAATTGTTCAATTTTGCTCGTTCTTTTGAGAAATTCGACTGTTCAACTGTCTGCGAGCAAGAAGAATGATGACGGCGAAGACGACGAGGGCGACGATGACTATGATGGCGATGACGGCGAGGACAACGATGATGATGATGAGGAGGAGGAGGACGACGACGACGAAATCTCAAGCACGTCAGATAATGAGCAGAGCGACAGCGGCGGCAAGAAAGCTGAAAAACAAACGAAGAAAAAAGTTCCATCTTTCTCTGAAGCTCTTTCACTCCTGTGTAACCCAGATTATAGTTTGGTTGATGCGTATCCAACTCTCTGTCGCGTTTATGCTATTGCTGTGGCCATCCCAGTTAGTTCGTCGACTGCAGAGCGTTCGTTTTCTGCACTCAAGAGAGTGAAGACTCGCATTCGCTCATCCATGGTTCAGGAGAGACTTGAATCATTGCTTTCAATGTCAATCGAGCGTAAAATTTTGCTCAAATGCGACAAAGAACATCTCATTAACTTGTTCGCAGGGCTTTCTCCCGAGCTGTCAAAAGCTCTACTTTGACTTGCATTTGGTTCATTGGTTGTCTTTTAAAACTGTACATGTGATATTAATATGCTCAATTAGCATAAACTATAGCTTATAGTATATACGTTATTGACATTTGACCTGGAACAAAATTATGTTCTCTCATTATCAGCATAT